GGTAGCTAACACGTTTCAGATAACCTGCAGCTCCTTCACGCGTGTGAGCTGGTACAACCTCTCAGCCACTCTCAGCTTCAGAACACACCTTGCCTCAGTCTCACCTTCTCCTGACACCTGTCAATGTGATCTTGCAACACCCAATCAGAGTTTCTCATGCCAGCTACTAACCTTCAATGCTTACAAACTTACTTCCCTTAGGGAAGCCAGGCTCCTGACATGTAACAACTGGACCCATCCCTTCCTGGCTGAGAGCCTTCACTCACCTCTTGCCCCGTGAGCCAGCTTCTCCATATCCTACTGTTTTATGGGTCCTCTGTGCCAACTCCTCAGAGCCAATGTATCATGCCGCTTTGTATTAACAACACCTGACACATAAATGTTCAAAGAAGGGCTACTGGACATTGCATCTATCTATCTCTATATATACACACAGATAGGTACAGCAACATCCATATATCTGTATCTCCATAATAGTTATAGCAGTGCACAGTTTGATTTAAAATGTATCTACTTTCAATCTCTGTATATCTTCAACCTATATATGGAAGTAGATATATTTTAATTCAAACTGAATTCTGTTTATGCAAACCAACATGATTTGTCACCCTCAGACCCTTCCTAAGACTTAATTTGTACCTGAATATCTCTTCATGTTGATAAAATCCTATCGAATATCAGGTGTATTTTACAAGGCCTTAATTACATATAAAAGCAGAAATAAAGGCCTTTTATTTCACATTTTATTGTGATAAATTATAAAGTTAATATGTGCATATCAAAGGCCTCAAAGCCTATAAAATTGCAATAATTCTAATAAAAAGTAGAATTAACTATTCCCCCATCTTAAAGAATAATAAAGGTATTATCCTGCTTTACACAAAATTATACTATAAATTTTAAAAATGATTTCATATACACATTTTATACATATTTATCATATAATTATAACATGCTGGTGCCTTGACCCAGGAATTTGCCTCTATCAACTAAGTCAGGGGAAACGGTAAGCTGTTATGGCTATTACTAAAGTTGTCATTATAAAACAACAGAACTTTCAGTTTGTACATACACTCTGTCCTTTAACAATATTTTTAAATATTCAAAGAGAACTCTGGTGTTATTCCAACATCAAGGCACTTTATAATTTTTGTCCAAACTGAACAGATAGATATATCCTATTTTTCCTATCAATGGTGAGGTTGTGGCAGAAGAGAGAGAGCAGAGGTCAATTTCAATAAAAATTTTATTTCCTTGTCAACCTAAATGTTTTATTTTAAATTATTTGTATTAAGCCCAACTTTCTAATGACTTGTAGTCATTAGAAAAGACACAGCCTGAAAAAAGTTACACCCACCCGGGGTAATAAATAGCTTTTGAGATGCATTTAGGAAGATTTGGTAGGACCGATGGCACCAAGAGTTTCTTTAATTTGGGGAGTGGAGGGTAGGGGCACCAAAACCTCTTTAGTGGGAAGAAAAGGAAATGTTACAAACTAACCACTGCCCTTTCAAAAGTGAGAAGAGACAAGTAAGGTTCATTATGCGGACCCAAGATCATATGGAGGTTGAAAAGAAAAAGGGAAAACCAAAATAAAACGTGAGTTTGCAACAGGCTCCTGGATGAGCCATCCTTCTCAGGCATGCTGAGGGGCTGGTCATAACCAGGTTGTGGCAAGAGCATGACTGTGGAGCCAGCGAGGTCTGCCTCTCAGCAGCCCTGGGATAATCTCTCGTGCCTCTCTATTCAGAATCCTTTGGCATGATCCTGTTGACCGGTTCTCTATCCATTCCAATCCATCCCACAATACTATTACAGTTGCTTCCTAAAAACTAAATCTGGCCATGAAGCCCCAGGCTTAATCAGATCCTGACCGGCTCTTTGTCTGTGCCCCCGCCCCTCACTCACTCTATGCTCTGCCTTGATTCCAGCTTTGATCTCTTTGATCTCATCCAAGGCTTTTTTTGCAACTCACAGTCTCTGCTGTTCCCCCGCCTGGAAGGCCCACTGTACCCTTCATCACCTGACAAACTCCTGCTCGTTATTTAAGGCCGACGTCCTCTCTACCAGAAAGTGTTCCCTCACTCCCCTCGGCAGTTAGCCTCTCTCCTTTGTGACCCAAAGAGACTTTATTTAAATCACTTATTACTCCTGGCTGAGATGATGGGTTTATCCATCCAGCCCCGTTTCTAATCACAACTTCCTCTCTTCCTCTCTTAAACTGTGAGGACCGCTGAGGCAGGATTGTCTTAGGATTCCCAGTGCTTCATATCCAATAGACGTTTATCAAATAAATAAATGAATGAATGAGTGAATGAGTGACTACCTTGATGGAAGTCTCAACACGTAGGACCAAACAATTTTGATGAATGAGATTCAAATAATCAAAGGAAGAGGAAGGAGATGAAAGGATGGATGCCATTTTATGAAGTGATGAAATATGTACTCTCTCTCTCTCTCCCTCTCTCTCTCCCTCTCTCTCTCTCCCTCTCTCTCTCTCTCTCTCTCTCTCTCTCTCTCTCTCTCTCTCTCTATATATATATATATATATATATATATATATAATTACTCAAGGGCCCCAAATGGCCATGAATAATAAATACAGATAATATTTATGGACATAAAGGTAAGTGCATTTTTTTTACCCTAGAGACTGGAACTACTCTTTCAAAACCATTACTATCTTGATGGGTCAAAATGGCTTTTGGCGCACACAGTATGTTAGCAAATATGAACAATGTATCTGTCAAGCAGTAACCAAGTACAATTTAACTTAGTAAGTGTATCAACTCCTTCTGTGCCTCTCTAATCCATTTATCTAAATCCTACTTAGTTGGAGGATTATAGTTCTCATATATCTAAATAGCTCTTTCCAAAGTTTAGGTAAATGGTTCGCAGGAACGGTAAACAAGACTGTACAAATCGTTTACCCAATTTCACATGAGAAAAAAGAAATCATAGGACACATCCATTTTCCTGGAAAGAAAAAGAAAAGGAAGGACGTTGGGATCATGACAAACAAGCAATTAAACTGCCTAAAGATAGATTCTCCCTCCCCCAAGTCCCTAAAAGGGAAAGAGCTGGCCAAGAATTCCAAGGGAAGCAGCCACAGAGAAAAGAACCACTAAAAGCAGATTTGAAATCTCCATGGAAACAGGAGGCTTCATAGTAACAGACAGGGAAGAATTTAAAGAAATATAAACCAGATCTTCGAGCTTCCACATAAGAAAGGGATGCTGGAATAATTTTTTAAAAGTCGTGGTGGTAGAGCTGGCTAAATTGATCACAAAGTAGTTAAAAACACAAATTACAAAGAATGTTGTTACCTAAAGTTTTCAACAAACAAGCCTAACTAAACCAAACCATAAGGTTTTGCAACCTCCCTCCTCTGGTCTTATAAAATTGAGGGTATTTCTTTATAGAAAAGTAAGATTTTTATCTCAATTCATGATGCTGTAAAAAAAATTATAATAATAAAAATGTAATATGCTAATTAGACCAGATAGCTGAACGACCTTCCAGACAAAGCTGGGGCTGCAAGCTCCTTGCCCAAATTTCGTGTATTGGGCCTCTAGTATTTCTATAATAGTAATGCACGTAAGTGATGTATGATAACCATAACTAAACTTGGGCTCTAAATTAAGGAAGGCTGCCTGTTAATAGTTATTTATAGTTTATATTCCATTGATGCCATTAAATTAGTGACAGAATGCAAACTATCAACTAAATTAATTCTTAATTTGTTAATTCTATAGTCAAACGGTGAGATCAATTTCTTGCATCATGCATGTATTTCAAATTTATCTGAAAGAGACTCATCATATCTGCCTAATCTATATATATAAAAGGCTAATATGCAAAGTGTCCCCTTGGGAGTTCGACTAGGACAACAGGAGTTTGATCACTCCCTGTGACATGTGCTGACCACCAGAAAACAGCACGGAATGAAGGCAGGCCCTGGCCGGTGGTAGGAAGGCCCCGATAGGATCTAATCGCCAGCCAAGCCTAGAGATCCTACTCTTGCAAGAACTTCAAGCACCAGGCCTCTAGTATTATAATAAGAAAAAAACCTAAAATATGCAAATAATGTCAAATAAAACATAAATTTCCAAACAACACAAGTGACAACACTGATAAGAATTCCATGGGAAAGCTTATATTCAGTAACATTAAACTTTTATGTCTCTTTTCTCCTTAAGTGTCCTTTATGGAAATGAATGTTAACTATTTCTGCATGACCCTTACTCTATAATATTCAACTTCTGGCCTTTTTTTCCTAGGAAAAATAAAAACTTATACTGTTTAAATGTCAGTACTTTATGACTTTATTTGTTCAAGTAATGAAGTTAAAATTATCTAAACTATGACTAAGAAATTTGTTAATTAGCAAATGAAGTTACAAGTTGTATCTTGTTTATAAATTAATATAGTGACAACAGTGGTTAATATACGGACTATAACCATTATGCCTAAGTTCAAAGCCCAGATCTGCCATTTACCTGCTATGTGACCATGAATAAGCTACTTAACCTCTCTGCTCTCAGTTTTTCAAACAGTAAAATAAATGGGACTAATAATAGTACCTTACCGCACAGATAAGTTAATATAGCTGAAGTGCTTAAACAGCTACACTCTCACAATCCTAATGGTCTTAACTTCTCCAGAGATTCTACAACTATAGCTTGGATGACAAATATTTCCCAAGGTGGAAGTCCACATAGAGAGTTATTTTACTCTCTTTGCTAATTCAATAAAACATAATTGTATTAACTTTTAGAGCATCCTGGAATTTAGAGAATTTGTCAAATAATGAGATAGAATTATAAATCAGCCTTAGACTATAATTATTAAAGTTCTCAGTTATTCTATCTCCATCTGTTTTCAGTTTACTCTGTACCAAAAAAAATAAAATAAGGGGGGGGGAGGGGCGGGAGAGAAGTGAAGCATAGCTCCCAAGCCCTCATGCAACAGAAGTTCAGATAACGGAACACCAGTACTACCTTTGTCACTTCCATAATAATAGAACACGCCTTTACTGAGAGCACACCACCGTTTCTGCCATTCAAATCCCAGAAAGCTGTGATCTGCAATAAAGGGGGACAGGAAACAGTTTAGATAATATACACAACATATGTAAACGCAACCCCAGTTCTTCTACTTTTTAAAAAAATATATTTTATTGATTTTTTTTACAGAGAGGAAGAGAGTTAGAAACATTGATGAGAGAGAATCATCAATCAGCTGCCTCTTGCACACCCACTATTGGGGACCGGAATCGAACCTGGGACCTTTCAGTCCGCAAGCCAACGCTCTATCCACTGAGCCAAACCGGTTTCTGCCACAGTTCTTTTTAAGAATGTATTTCTTTTGTTGATTTCAAGAGGAAGGGAGAGGGAGAGAGATATAGAAACATCAATGATGAGAGAGAACTATCGATTGCCTCCTGCACGGCCCCTACTGGGGATTGAACTCACAGCCTGGGCATGTGTCCTGAGTGGGAATTGAACCCTGACCTCCTGGCTCTTAGGTCAATGCTCAACCACTGAGCCACGCCAGCCAGGCAGTTCTATATTGTAAAAGTATATGTTAGTTAATATGATTTCTAAGGTTCCTGTTTAGCTCTAAAATTCTAGGACTGATTCATTTGTATCTTCTTTTCAAGAGATAAGAACAAAATTAAAAGGAGTAAAGTGAGGCAGAGCCGGAGCTGCCATGGTTATGAGGTCGACAGAACGTGAACAAACTTTCCTGCTGGGGACCGTCCACACGGCATCTGACTCTACAGCCTGCAGATAATGGATTCATCTGGGTCTCATTTTCTCATCTGTTATGAAAAGGAGGAGGAGGAGCTGGCCTAGCTTATTTCTATTATCTCTTTCAGCTTTCAAAGTCAGCTTAAAAAGCGAAGGAAAGCAAATGGAATATAAATAGAAAGGCCCAAAGGGAGTCCCTGAGAGATAAGCAGAATGGGAATGGAGAGACTTTCTGCTTTTCATTTCCCATATCATCACACCTCCTCCGTATTTCATTTCCATTATATATTGGTGTTGAAAGAGTGAGACCATATGGTCAACTCCCAATGATCATAGCCAGTGGAGAGGAACGCTGGATGAGGAATAGAAGATGGTGGAAAACAGGCCAGGCTGGCTGGACCGTTACAGGCACGCTGTGGGCCAGGTGAGGCGCAGGAGAACCTGCGGCTTGGTGGGGGACCGCGGGGAGAAATCCCATCCCTGAGATTACAGTCACGGCCCACGCCTTCCTCTGACAGGCAGGGGACAGCCCCTGAATCATTACAAATGACTGGGGTTGATAACTAAAAACCTAGCAAATGTTGGTTATAAACATTATTTAGAGCTAAAAGCTGTTCTTTTTGGTTTGGATAATGTCATCCAGATTTTCTCAGAGTCTGAAGACTCTTCAATCACCCATCGAGAACACTGGCTCCACACGAACACGGCAAGCATCTTTTATTCAAGGATAAAACCATTTTTAGATTTTTCATCAGAATCTCAGTTTACCTTTTCTGCGTTTTTCAAGGTAGCCAGCCTTAAAAACACACGGCAGGTCCTGTGCTGCCACTGGAGGAAACTGGGTTCCTGTGGGAAGTAGAGGAGAGGAAAGTAGTGAGCAACCCATTTTAGAAAAACCAAGTGCCAGGTCTCATTAGGTTCGGTGTACGTTTAATTACCCAAATACATTCAACCCATGTTTATGAGCTTTGTTTCAGACCATAGCGTAGTCCCTTCCCCCTCCTAAAAACAATACTTCTATACTCCTGTATCTTAATATATTTTGCTCCCCCAAATACAGCAATATTATGTAACAGAACGATTTCTCAAGCACAATGCTTTTTGACCCACAGTGAAAGGAAAGGACTAGGAAACCATTATAAATAAATGAAATGAAGTCCTGAAAGAGATTTCAAATAAATCATGTAAGCTTCTTTATATTTATGTTGGATTAACTCTTCAAGAATTTTGATACATGCCAAATCTTACGTGTATGTCCCTCTTCTTATCAAGCAAAACATAAAATGATTTTCTCCAAAAAGCAAATGCTAAAATTTGTTCCTCTGAGCCCATAGCCAAATTCTCTCTTCCTGGTTGTACTCACAGAGAAATTCATTTGTCTAAACCTTTTTTGCTATTTGTCCAATATCTAGGGTTTTTTTAATACACATGTAAACTAAAAAAAAAAAAAAGTTTAGTAATAGTCATCCCTTTAGATACTTTAGATTGGCTAAATTAAATTTATTTGAGTTATTAATTGGTCAATAACATTAATAAGTTCCAGGTGTACAACTTTATAATACATCATCTGTAAATTCCATTGTGTGCTCAACACCTAAGTCTGGTCTCCTTCCATCACCATAAACTTGACCCCCTTTACTCTCTTCAAACTCCCCCAACCCCTTAGATTTTAAGTTCTTAAAAGACCCATTTGATTTGTATGGCACCATAAACATATAAACACTGAATACTTCTGATGGTAGAAATTGAAATTCTGTAGCAAGATATAAAAAATAGTAAATTCTCTTTAAAAAATATGAATTGTTGCATCATTTAGACTTCATATCACTATATGTACAATGATCAATAGTATGCCACCATTTAAAAATATTCACAGTGACTCAGAGAATTAACTATATAAATGTAGGTTTAAGGAGGCTGATATAAACCTATCTGGCAGGTAACAAAAGAAGAGCTGCCAACACCACAATTACATTATCTCACCATGAGAAGCTAGATATGCAGCACAGCCAATTATACAACATTCTAACAAATTCACAATTACCTTGCCAGCTCTGTTTCACTATCAAAATTCACACCCTGGTCCTCGAAATAAATTTAGTTCTGAACTTTAATCCTTTGGCACATAGCAGACATTCAATCAAATGTTAGGTTTTATTGTTATAATTAAATATTATATGTTAGTGTAACTGTTATCTACGTATTAATTTGAATGAATAGATGCCGCTGTAAATTTAAGACCAATGTTGCTTAGAGAATTTTATTGAGAAAGATGGGAAAAGGCATGATTTGGTAACTGCGCAAGTTAAACATGGTAGTTATTTTAAAAGCAGTTCAAAGATTTTCTTTTGGTGAGGTGAAAGCGGTTGTCAGAGAAATTATAACTAAGGGGAGAGAAAGAATTGACTCCTAGTGGAACAGACTGCTTCTGCTGCAGAGGATTACACATGGGCTTGCTTACGTGGCTAGAAGCATTCAGCACCCTAAGGAAACCAGCACATTCTGACCAAGACTCGTTTCCTTTTTATAACATGAGTGTGTACTGGTCCTATAATGGTCCTACTTTCTAAGGCATCTTACAAGAGCGGGCAAGAAATGGGTCTTCTTCCAACTTGCAACTTGGGAGTCTGAAACATGCATAATGGTAACAAGATCACAGCGAATTCAAATGAGATTCAAATAAGCAGGAATCAAGTGCCTACTATATTCCCAGCTACTCTGGGGCAGGGGTGGGGGTGGAGGTAAGGCTGGGGTGGGGGAGGAGACAACAGTGGAATCCAAATTTTCTTAGATTGGTATTTTGTTCACAAGGAACACTGTTTTTAAAAGATAACTCAGGAGTTTTAGAATCCCTTGAAACTTTTGTCTTAAAAACAAACTGTGCATAGAGTGGATATATCTCGCCAGCAAGTTAAAGAATAAATTGTAGAATCTGAAAATGAAGAGTTCCATTATTTCCAGTATTTCATGCATTATAATTTTGCATAAAGGTAGAAAAATTTATTTTTTGTTTTGTTTCCTATATATTTCAAGATCATGTCCACGATCCTGTAGACATTTCTGGCTGAAGGGCATGTTGGGTCCTTAGCTTTAGAAAACAGTTTGTAAATGAACTTCAGGTCCCAGAGCCACTCCTGACTCAGAACTCATTGTTCCACAAGTGCAGTCTAATTACACGCTACTTCACATCTGCACACATAGACTGAGGTGTCACTTTCCCGGATTCGAAGGACTCTGTAGTAGATACAAAGACACAGAGTTGCTGACACTTACATTATTCTAAAAGGTTTTAACTGCAAAAATTCACTTGTATGCCTGCAGAACAGAGAAACTATGCCCTAACAAAGGAGAGAAACCCAAACTTAATGAGCACAAATATTAAGTAAAATGATTGCGTGACACAGCAGATACCCAGACTCTCCGTTTTACATTAATATTGATTGCAAGATGCACGGTCCAGGTTAGAGGTCTGTAATGAAACCCCAGTTCTACAGACTCGTGACCTTCAGCAGGTCACTGAGAGCTGGGTATCAGTTTCCTCGTCTGAAACATGGAGAAAGTGGGTTACAGTATATCTAAGGCCCTCCTAATTCTAGGGTTCTGTGAAATATATCCACAGTAATACTTTTTCTTATACTTTTGTTAACAAATGGCCCCGATCCCCAGTGGGTTCGACTTTCAAAGATACCAAATGTAGAAACTGTTCACACTATAGTTTTTGTAAAGCAACTGATAACTTCCTTGAGATCTAGCATGGAGTTACTTGTTTTATGTCATTTTAAAGGTTTAATGAGATCTTGGTCTAGAAAATAAGTACATAAATTAAAATTTTTCATATTCTATTAATTCTCCCCTTCACATGAAAAACTTATAATTTCACATGTTTTTATCAGTTTTATTTAGTAGCAAAAAAGTAAGATTATTTTCAATGGACATATGAAACAATCAGGAAGGCAGGCAGGTGAGCAGTTGGGAGCCAGCAGTCCTAGATTGTGAAGGGGATGTCCGACTGCACATTTAAATGGCAGTTTAACATTCCTCGAAGGGTCCCAGATTGGAGAGGGTTCAGGCTGGGGTGAGGGACACCCCCCACCCTGTACACGAATTTTGTGCACTCTAGTATGTATATAATTGTGGCTGCTACCAATTATCATGGAAGTCTACCAAAATATGTAAAATTCACATGGCAATAATAGAATAATTAAGAGGATAATTAATAGTAAGAATTAAGAAGAATCTGAAATCAAGTATGTTCATCAATATCCACTAAATAAAAGTAAAAAGCCATACATCAAAAGTATTAGCCATAGTTATATTTTCCTTCTCTTTCAATTAAAACTGCTTCTTTTACCTTGGAGTGTGCTTACGTGTCTGACCAGAATTTAAACTACCTATTTACATTTCTGAAGACTGCTTTTTAAGATAAATTTTTAATATAGGACTGCTATCCTTAGCTCATAAAATGTTCCTCTCTTTCTCTCCCTCTTCTTTCCTCTCTGAAATCAATAAAAAGATATTTTTGAAAAATTCATATACAATTATGATCTGGGTTTCAATTTAATATTTTTCATTAACACAAGAAAGGTATACTGATCTGATTTTGCATCTTAAAATTGTGCTTAAACCCTGGGTTCAAATAGCAGCTTGACCACTACTGTGACTTAGATCAGTTACTTGATCTCTAACTTTAGTTTTCAAATCTTTTAAAATGTATTTATTTATTTATTTATTTTTATTGATTTGAGAGAGAGAGAGAGAGAGAACAAACACCTATGTAGAAAAGTATTCATTACTGTTAAGGGAATCTGAGTAAAGGATATAATGGAAATTCTCTGTGTTATTCTTGAACTTTTCTATAAAAGACATATTTCAAATGTAAAAATATATATAAGTAAAAAAAAAATTAAAGGCAAGACTAGAAGTCAGGGTAGAACACAAAACAAGTTGAAATTACAGTCATTTACACATAGCAAAGGGAGGCCAAGAATTCAGTTATAAGCTTTATAACAAACCAACATGAAGCAAAAAATAATAAATTGTGTGATTCATTGCCCATAAGATAAACAGAAATCATTGTTCAGGGAGGAACATACACCAGCCATTCCTGGTTCCTGGGACTGAAATGAGAAAGAAATTTCTCCCAGGTGTTCTCAATGTCCACAATAACATTTTTACAGTAAGTAAAATCAAAGTTTAGAGGGCTGCTCTGTATAGCATCACTCATTCCCAGCCAACAGCAGAATGCCAAAGCAAACTTCAGCAAAAGCAACTCTAGAGAATACAAGGCCAGCCGCCACGTACGTCCAGAGGTCCCAACTGGCGCTGTGAAACTCAAGGATAAGATCACAGGTCACCTATAGGAACAGACACTCTACATAGTTTTCAGGAAATCCTTCCAAAATACTCTTTGTCTTCATCAAACACTAATCTACCAAACAATGACTTTTTTCAAGGAGTGGATGTCAAAATAGACAATGAACTCTTGCCAATCAGTCAGAAAAAGATAAACAGCTTTGACAGAGAATCAGGTAGAGAATATGAACCAGGCAATTCATAGAGTAAGCACAAAAAGCTAATGAACATGAGAAAAGATGAGTGTTTACTGCTTAACTGCCTTTCTCCCAGCTCTCCTCCCCTTGACTACATAAGGAGACACAGGTCCCGTGGGCTTGGAGATCATGACTGTCTTGTCCAGATTAGTGCTGGGGGCACAGTTAGCACTCAGAAGTTTTGGTGCATTAATAAACAAACTTCACAAAAACTAAAGAAACAAGCTAAACCAAGAAACTACTCTTTAACTAAAGAGTTAAAACTAAAAAAAACTTTTAAAAAAAGTAATGGTTACT